GAATGTTAATAAATTCCTCTTCTGCACCTATTGAGATAATAATTTTATTTTTCTCATTTATTTTGTTACTATAGTGAATGTGTGGTGAATTAATGTGGTGAATTATATTCATGAATTTAAAATGTTAATAAATTTGAACACTTGGGATAAACCTCTATTATTCAAAATATGTTATTTTTGATGTACTGCTGGATTCAGTTTAAGAATATTCAGTTTGCATATTGGTTCATAAGAGATACTGGCATGTGATTTTTCAGAAACTGTTTTGAAAGATTCAAATAATCATCGTTGACCACAGTTAGCCTCTCATGCTGTAGAGCATATTCTTCTTCAAAGCATGATCTTAGCACCTTTGTCAAAAATCAGTTGGCCGTAGGTGCATGGGCTTACTTCTAGGTTTTCTGTACCATGAATACCATGTTTTTTTGATTCTTACAGCTTTTTAGTGTTTTGAAGTCAGATAATGAATACCTACTGCTTTATTATTTTTATACAAGATGGCTTTGGCTATTCAAGTGTGTGTATATGTGTTTTTCTATATAAATTTTAGGATTTTTTTTTTGAGTTCTGTGGAAAGTCTGGTATTTTGATAGGAATCGTATTGCCTCTGTAGATCGCTTAAGGGAAGGAATATGGACATTTTAACAATATTGATTCTTCTTATCCTTGGACAGAGGATGTTCTTCCACTTTTTAAAATGTCCTCTTTAATTTTTTTCATCAATGTTTTATAATTTTCATCATAGACATCCTTCACATCTTTGATTAAATTTATTCCAGGTTTTTTTGTAGGTATTATAACTGAAATTACTTTCTTGATTTCTATTTCAGATAATTTGCTATATAGAGCAATACTACTGATTTTTTATATTGATTTTTGATATCCTGTAAATTTGCTGAATTCATTTATCAGCTTTAGTAGTTTTTGTTTTCTCGAGATTTAGGGGTTTGCTATATGGAAGATCATATCATCAGCAAATAGTGACAATTCATCTTCCTCTTTTCCAATTTAAATGTTCTTTATTTTTTTCTCTTGCTTGATTGCTCCGGCTTGGATTATGTTGAGTCAAAGTAGTGAAAATGGGCATCCTTGTTATGTTCCAGATCTTAGAAAACTTTCAGATTGCCCCCTACTCAGTATAATTTTAGCTGATAGCTTTCATAAATGTCTTTTATTATGCTGAGGTATGTTCTCTCTACCTAATTTATTCAGCCTTTTTATGAAGGGACATTAGATTTTATCAAATGCCTTTTTTGAATCCATTGAGATGCTCATGTGGTTTTTGTCTGTTATTGTGTTGATGTGGTGTATCATATTTATTGATTTGCATACATTGAAACATTCTTGCATCCCTGGGATGAATCCCACTTGATTGTGATGAATAATCTTTTTTTTTTAAATGTCTGTTTTATAATTCTAGATGGACAGCATGCCTTTATTTGTTTAGTGTTTTTTTTTTTTTTTTAAATGTGGTGCTAAGGATCAAACCCGGTGCCTCACACATGCTAGGTAAGCGCTCTGCCACTGAGCTACAGCCCCAACCCCATGATGAATAATCTTTTAAATGTGCTTTTAGATTCAGATTTCTAGGGGTGTATGTATCTGTGTGTGTGTGTCAGGGGTGTTTGGTGATCAAACCTAGGACCTTGTGCATGGTAGGAAAGCACTTTACTATTGAGCTACATCCCTAGCTGAGTTTTGGTATTTTGTTGAGAATTTTTACATTGATGTTCACAGAGGATATTGGCCTGTAGTTTTTTTTTTCTTTATTGTGCCCTTATCTAGTATTGGTCTCAGGATAAGGTTGAACTCATCAAATGCTTTAGGAATAATTCCTTCCTCTTCTATTTTTTGGAATAACTTGAGAATTAATATTAATTCTTCTTTAAATGGTTGATAGAATTTATCAGTGAAGCTCTGATCCTGGGCTTTTCTTTTCTTCTTTTCTTTTTTTTTTTTGCTTGCTTTGAATCCAACTCAGGGCCTAATGCATGCTAGACACGTACTCTCCATACTCAGCCCCACTGCGCTTTTCCTTTTTTATGCGAGTCTTTTAATTATGGATTCAATATCATTACTTCTTATTGTTCTGTTCATGTTTTCTATTTCTTCATGACTTAATATTGATGGGACCTATGTTTATTAAGAATTTTTCCATTTTTTTCTAGATTATCCAATTTGTTGACAACTTGTTCATAAAAATCTCTAAGAAATTCTTTTTATTTCTGTGGTGTCAATTATAATCTCTTCTTTTTCATTTCTGCTTTCATTTACTTTTTTTCTCTCTTTTTCTTAGTCTAGAAAAAGGTTTGCTAGTTTCTATATCTTAAAACTAAAAGCTCCTTGTTTCACTAACTAGACTAAGAACAGTTGCTTCTACTCTTTTTTTCAGTTTCTCTGTTAGAACATTGACATGTTTTTTTCTGTTTTCTTCAAGTTTCCTTAAAACAGCTGTTATAAGTTGTCCGTCTGAGCATTCTCCCGTACTGATTGTCACCTGTCAGTTTCTGATACCTTATTTTGAGTATTAGGTGAGGTCATCATTTTCTGAAAGCCTTTATGCTTATCGGCATATGACATTATCTGGGCATTGTCTGGGCATTATCTGAGCATTAGGTATTTATTCTGGTCTTCCCAATCTGGTGGTTTGTGCCTGTCTTTTCAGAAATTCTAAGTAGGCTGCTTATTTTCTTTGAGTCTGTAGTCACTTCTACTATTCCAGCACTGGATGACATGCAGGTCTAGGTTTGCTGGGAATCTGCTGTTGGTAAATTGTCTCAGTTTCAGTAATAATGGGTGTCCAGGCCTAGTGTATCCCAAATGCACTGCTGGTGTGCTGTTCAGAACAGACCAGGGGAGTATTTAGAGAGAATGGTTATCCTACAATCCTCTCCTGGGGCTAGGGTAGGCCCAAGGACACATCCACAGTTGCCCACCTGTGGTCAGGTCCTGCAGAATTTTTCCTGGCTCTGGACAGATGTACCATGGATGGACCAGCACTAGTTTCCTATGGCATGCCTGTGACCACTGATGCGATCAAGTTGTGTGTCACACCTAGTGCTCACAGCCCACCCAGATCAGAACACCGTGGTAGCTTACATTGCTGGGGGCTACCTATTGCTGAGTTAGACTCATGGCTGCCATTAGGCCCAGCTGATGCTAGCTGGAATAGATAGAAGCCAATAGACTGGGGCCACATGTCTTCCCCAGCACTAGAGCTGTTCTAGAGGCTTCATCCACAGGTAAACGTGTGGGTGGGGTCTTTGAGGATCTGCCCAATGGGCTTCACCAGCCCCCCACTAAGTTCCAGGGCAAAGTTCTCTGCTTACCACCCTGTCCGGCCTCAGTGAATGGAGTCTTACTCCATACCAGGCTGCCCAAGATTTGGTGAAGGCAGTTCCTTGGCCACCTAGACTGATGATAACCTTTAGCACGCTTGAGTGTCACAGCCTCAAGGTTCTGCACGGCCTCAGGCTTGCATACAGCTGGTGGTGATGTAGGGGGTGATGTAGGATCCTGTCCCACTGGTGCATGGGTATGCACCTGATGCTGGGACTGGCTAAACTCTCCATCTGTGAGCTCTGGCCTGCATTTGGGGCATTCAGTTTCTACCGGATGCTGCTCTTACTGCTGCAGATCTGGTACTGAACTCCGGGACCAAGTCCCATGCTAGATTTGTGCCCTGTTCGCAGCAGGTGGAGTCTTGCTTCCCACTCTGCCTCCTAAGGTTGGAGTAGGCATGCAGGTGCCTACTCTATTGGTGGGTATTGGCCTGGTGGTAGGGGTCTTGGGATTCTGTCCAGCAGTAGTTTTCAAGTGTAAGGCATGACACAAACTTGCTGACTATCTCAAGCAGGTGGAGTCTCTCTCCACACTGGACTTCTTGGAATTGGGGAAGGGGTGACATGGGCTTCTCATTCTTTTCTGCCTTTTTCAATACTTCTTTCATTTCATCATAAGCAGGACTATGTTCTCTCACCTCATTTCCTGAGCTCTTGGGAAGGTAGTTTGGTGGGAGAATAGCTGTTCAACTTGCTATGCCCCTTGGGGAGATGATCACTCAAGGATCTTATTTAAGTACCATCTTGCTTTGCCTCCCTTGGTAACAGAACCATTTGTGTAACTATCCCCAGATCCTGTTTTCTACTTTAAATTCTCCCTGACTCTCTCCAATCCAGGCCGACTGACTCTTGTACTTCCTTCATGTAGTGAGCTGTGCCACGTAGCTTCCCTGCCAAAAAATGGCCATAGGAATTTGTGCTTTTCTTCACCGACAGTACTCAGCTTCTATGATATACTTGGGAAGTATAATTTTATTTTTGTTTTTCTAATTGTTCTAATTTTAGGGAGTGATCTTTGTGGATAGTTTCTGGTTAAAGATTGGTAAATGGTAATGAGTAAAGCCCACAAACCAACGTGCCAGGTGCCGTAAGAGAAGATTATGAATTCAGCTCTATGAGAGGACAGAAGAGGAGCAGCTTGGAGAGTTTGTCTCACTAGGTCTGGCCATTGTTATCACTAGTGGTTGCTTCAAAGCTGCTGGAAGGCAGTCCCATCAGACTCCGTGTTTATAGCATCTTGGTTAAAAGCTCATCCCCTAAGACAAAGCAGCTGGATTTCGAGCTCATCATTCTCACTGTGTTACTTGAATGCTTTCTAACTTAGTTTCCTCACCCATAAAATAAGGATAAGACCTTCACAGGGGTTCCTGTGAAATTAAGTCGTTAAAACATGTAAATGTTTGAAATCTGCCTGTCACATGGTAAGTACTTGAGAGGTCCTAACTATGGTTATTGGTTTGTGGGTTCCTTCAGACTAGAGGACAGAGCTTGGGAAGAAGGACAGACAGATAAAGGAAGTATATTTTCATATTCTCTTTGACTCTAGACTCCTCACACATGATTCCATCCTTTTAGCTTAAGGGAGACTGCCTCCAGCTGCCCACATTGCTCAGGCCTCACACTCTTTCTGTCACTGTCAGCCTGTTTTTTCTCTCCTAGGATCCCCAGATTCTACTCACAATGTGATTGGTCTCTCGGGAAGGCCCCTCCCTCTACGGCCTTCTAACACACAGATGGACATATCTTCTGTTCAATGGAAGATGGAGCTACACTCACGTCCAGGAACTTATGTGATACTGACTTGTAAGAATCATTCCACTCCGACATATGGAGATTTAGCTCTTAAACATTTCAACAATACACTTGATTTTAACTTTGAGAACTTAACCCTTCTCATCAAGGCCGCTAAGCCACAGGACAATGGTCACTATACACTGGAGGTGACCAATGAGTTTGGAAAGGTGGACGTGGTCCAGTTCAAGGTTTCCATATTTGGTGAGTCTCCAGGATTCCTCACCCGGTCCCCTCGATTTCTGTAGGACTTGTATTTCCAGCACCTTTCTGATCAGAATCTCTGCTTCCAGATCATGTTAAGAAGCCTCGCCTGGAGGAGCAGTGGAAGGTCCTGGATGAAAGGAAATGCAAAGTGGTGCTGTCCTGCTTGGTCTCCGGGGACAGCAATGTGACCTACACTTGGTACAGAGACAATGAATTGATCTTGGAGCCTGAGAACTTTACCCATCTGGTGGAGCTGGTTGATCCCAATGACCAGAACACATATACCTGCAATGTTAGCAACCCTGTCAGTTGGGCAAGCCAAAACCTCAGCCTCACCCAGGGATGTCTACGTGTCCCCTTGAGTAAGTGGAGCACTTTAGGCTATGACAGAGGCTTAAGGTGTTGGACCCCATGACCAGGCTCACGTGCAAGGGAGACTTGGATATGCCATTCCTGGGCTTCCTCCCCCAGTGTCATTTAGCCCTCCCTCAGCAAGGGCCTGGCCTCTAGGCACATGGTCTCTATAACCCAGGCCTATCTTAAGTCTGGGAAGATTTTAACTCCATATCCTTCTGGAGATGCAAGTTTTCCCTACACACAGGGAATGCGTGGTTGTTTGGTGAGTCTTGCAATGGCTCCTGACCATTATCTTCTTCCTCTGAAAGATACATGGAGACCTGCTCTGTCCTCTTGAGTGGTGTCTCACCATGCAGCTCTCCAGGAGGTAATGACACTGTCCAATAGTGCCTTGGGTCAGGAGAATCACACGATGCCTGGGGGGAGATCTGGGTTTATTGCTTATGCTGAGAATCACCTGAGTTTACATCGGTTTTTATTATATAAACAAAGACTTAATGTGCCAGTCAGCATTGGTGTGATGGAAAAAACCCAAACTCAAACCCAAATCTAAACCATGCAGTCTCTGTTCTTAAGAACCTTCAACAAAATTGGGGCAAGAAAACCAAGTACTTATGGGCAAAATAGAAACAAACAAGATGGAGGCACTATGTAGTGAGAAGGACACTGGTCTTTGCACTTTACATGAACGATTTCTGTGATCTCAGGCAGATTCATTAGCCTCTGTGAGTTTCAATTGTTCTCTAGGGTAAAATGTGGGTAACAATAACGGGTGCCTCATAGGATTGCTGTTATGATTTAGTGAGATAATGTTTGTGGAAAGCTAGTCAGTTGGCCCTGAAACACTTAATTCCTCTCCCTTCTCATGTTGGCTGGATTATATATCAGGCAACACATGCAACACAAATGTTGAATGTTGAAGTTCAGGTGAGGAAGAGCAGTGGAGGCAGGAATAGCAGGAAGGTGAAATGAAAGATTTGCCTCGTGAATAGTAGGTGTGCAATAAATATTTGTTAAATTACAAATAATGAATAGATAAAATATTTGCTGTGCCAGATGCTTTCTATATATCAGATTGTGTGATGATCCCCTATAGGTGGATAGCTTTAGCTCCTTTTAATGCGTGAGAAAACTGAAGCTCAGAGGGTTAACTCTGTAACACTGAGCCTACAGAATTACAATTTGGACGAGACCTGTCAGAAATTAATGTCCAAACTCTTGGCATCACTTATGGGAAGTTACCCAATTGAGCAGAGAGACAACCTTGGTGTGGGATTCATAGGGCAGGAGGAGACCAGCCACATTGGGGAGGAGAGTGGGTTTTGAAACAGCTGCTGCAGCTGGCAGGTGGGAAGCAAGAGGTGGAGTGAGTTCACTTGCACCTTTTAAATTTTTTTTTTAAATTTCTCAGGATCCAGAATTCTGCCCTTTATGGTGATTGTCATTATTCTGGCCATACTGTTTATTGTCACTTTCACTTGCTTCTGTGTGAGGAAGAGAAAGAGAAAGCAGTCACGTAAGTGGATGGTCTTTGAGGGGTACTGTGGCCCGATACATCAGATTCAGTGGCTGGGTCCTGTGTTCAGTCGGATGTGCCTGGATACATAGTATCCCTTCCCTCCGGGAGTGTCATAGTATCCCTTCCCTCCGGGAGTGTCGGGATGCATGTACCTGGTTGAGGGAGGGCAACCAGTGGCAGCAAGGCTTCTTTCTGTGTTGGCTGCCAGATGTTTGCATCTGATCCTCAATGTGCAGACTTATCTGCAGGTTGCCTGGTTTGATCGGGGTCTGCCTGTCTTGATAGAGAAGGTATGTCAGGGGTGGGCATGTCACATGCTCTTTAGGTATTGTGGGAAGAGCACTAATCCGCCTCTTTTCTAGAGCCGTTCTTAAGGTCTGGGCCATCTTGGGGAGAGGTAGGACCATCAAAAGTGGGACCTGGACAGGAAGCCCTCTGGATGTTTCTGAAGCTCTGTTCCTTGCTTACCTCTTTCCACAGAGACCAGCCCAGAGACACTTCTGACAATTTATGAAGATGTCAAAAACCCACAGATGAGGAGGAATGAAGTATGGCATTCTATGGGTCGGGGTCTCTCTCTGTTGGTCTGGAAGTTGCTTTTAGGAGAATGGCCATTCAGAGCAGGGGGACAAAGAGAAATGGACATTGATCCTTTCAAAGTCATCCTCAGCCCTCCCCCATTTCTTTTCTCCATCAGTTTCTTAGTTCTGGCCAGACAGGAAATGAGGGAAAACAAAGGAAGCAGAGAAATTGAAAGGGAGGCAGACATGACATGCGCGGTGCGAAGGGATGAAGCACAAGAAAATCCAGAGGGCAGAGGCTGCTCCTTCCTCCCCAGACAGCACCGCGGTGTTCTCATTGCTGCTCAGCCTCTCCAGATGGGCTGAGTGCCAAGAGGAGGGAGACCTTCCTGTATTTATTGTTTCTGACTGTTGTAGGGACAAACGAGGCAAGGCACCGAAGATAGCAGGAAACAGTTTTATTTGGCTGCAGCCAGGTTCAGAGGGTACAGCTTTTGCTGTAATCAATCAATCCCCTGAACCCCGAGTTCAGGGAGTTTCAGAGTTTTATACCCAGCATGTAAGGGGAGGGGCTCAGAAGTTCACAGTCTGCAGAAGTTCACATAAAAGCAGCTTTTTTCTTTCACTATTTTAGGCAAGTTAACACTTCAAGGACAACACCTGAGAAGGGGAGAGCCTCTTCTCCCCTTTCTTTCCTCCCGCTGCCAGCTGTTACCATGGAGCCCAGCTGTAATTTATCTTAAAAATGTAGACATCTCTGTGAAGCCCAGCTCAAGGCCAGAGGCCTTGTTTGCACATTTCTACAAAGTACTATACTGGATATGTTTGTGAAAAACTAGTAAGGGGGTGTCCAGCACCTGGAGTGCTGGTATCTTCTCGGCCAGTGGCCAAGTGAACAGGGTGACATGAAAATAGGAAGTTTATCTACAATGGACTCTTTTTCTGACAGTCCTAAAATCAGCCATGGTGAAGAGGGCTTTTCTGTGGAGAAAGGGGGTGCCACTCCATGACCACAAATTCTGTTCCTCTAGCAGTTAAGAGCTTACTTGGGTGGGTCTTTTCACAGTCACCCTGGTCCTGGGAGTGTGACCAGCCAAAGCATAACAGTTCTATAACTGGCTCATTGATCTATGTTCTCAGCCTTTTGGAAAAGAAGAGGCCCGAGTCTGGCTGAGGTGCTGGAGAGAGTCATCAGCTTGATTTTAAACGGATGAGCCCTGGGTGTCTCCCCCAGGAACCTCTCTCACCAGCTCTCAGCAGGGTGGTGGCCACCTCTTCCTGTCGTCCAGGGATGTAAAAGAGGAAGCTGCAGGGGGGTTGAAGATGCCCCCAGTACCACAGGCAGGATGTGGTGACAAGCCTGGGGAAAGGCTCTGATGGATCAGGCAGTGCCTACTGAACTGGTGGGTAGCAGGTAGGAGTGGGGAGGAAGGCCCCATTTCCCCCCTGCCAGTTTTGGTGCTTGGCTAGAGGAGGCAACAATGAGGAATTCCTCCTCTCGTCACAGAGATGAGGCCTCGTGGGGCAGCCTCCCTCAGGTCTACTTCCTCCGTGGGAATGAGGGCAGCTCCCCTCGCTGTTTCTTTGCCCTCAAAATGGAATATTGGGGTGTGAAAATTAAAGAGGAGGTAATTTGACTACTACCAGATTCAGGTACGGATTTCTAAGGGCACATGCGTCTAGCTTTAGCCATTTATCTCCCCAAATGAAGATGACTTTAGAGAAACAGGAAAAACAGGAGGAAAGAACCATTTAGAGTAAAAGAAGTCTGTTGGAGACTCAGGCTTGTTACACTGCTTCTGACTCAGGGTCCTCTCTGCCCAGCCTCAGCCTTCTATCGGGCCTGTCCCTGTCTCCAGACCCCAGCTTGAAGGCCTAAATCCCAAGTTTCATGTGGTCTCACTTTGGAGACCATCCACAGGAGAGGAAAAAAACCAAACAACTCCTGTTTCTTGACACATGCCCATGACTCTCTGGCCTCCAAAGATGGCTTGACATTTCTCTTCCTCTTAGCTTTTTGTTTCTGGGGAGTTCAGCTTCCATCTTGTCTGATGAACGTTGCTGACCTTCTTTGGCTCCCCAGCAGAGCTCCATCTGGAAATATGTGCTCAGGGATGTGCAGCGTGAAATATCTCCACTCCTAATCTGTTATGGACAGGCCTGAGGGAGGGAAACCGGAAGGGCTGTGTTCCCCCTGCCTTTAGCCTTGGGTCTACGGCTCCACCCAGCATCACAGCTGCCAAGAGGACTGGCTTGAGGCCAAGGGCAAGCTGGTTATGAAACATAGATTGAGGGGGGTGGGGCTTAAAATGCTGGGTCTTTAAAATGCTTAAACCTTCTGAATTTCGGTGCCCTGAGGTACGGCTGGGATCGTAGCTCTGCCTGGAGTTCTGCCCATTGTCAGGGGTTATGTGGAACATTTAGTCCTCAAGTCAGCCAAGGCAAGGAGGGGTTTCTAAGTTATCAAAGCAAAGGAAGGGACAGGGGTGCCCAATGGACAGGATTGCTTGAATCCAGTCACACAATTAGTGTCAAGAGCCATGAGTTGCTCTTGACACTAATTGCTCCACTGTGACCTCCTGTAACTCCTCTTGCCTCTCCCCCTCCTGGGGTGTTCAGTGATGAGGCTTTTCCCAGTCCTGCTACCTTCTTCCCAGGCTTCTTTTTTTCTATCTTTCCCTGTTTAATCGAAACCTGGACAGACCCCGCTGTCTACCCATGTCACCTCATGTTCCTTTATTGTTTCTTCTACAGCAGCAGGAAGTCCTTGAAGAAGGAGTCACCATTTACTCTGTGATCCAGTCCCAGGTACCACTCTGGTTTCTCTAATACTCTCCATTCCCATCTATGTGGCTCCCTAATGCCCCGTCCCCAATTTACACCCCTCAATGGCAGGATCTGGGTGTTCCTGGGGTCCAGAGCCTAGCTTGGCTTCAGGTGCATTAGCAAGTTGAAAAGATCAGTATATTCTGGTGTCATTTTCCATATTTTTATGAGTCCATGATAATTATTCACAATAGTGGAATCTGTTGATATATTTGTATATGCACATGATATAACAATAAAATCTGGCCAGTACTTTCCCCATTATTTCCCCCTTTCCTCTCCTCCTTTCTCCCTGGTCCCTTCCTCTTCTCTATTGATCTCCCATCTCTTTTCATAAGACTTCCACCTATGCCACATCTTTCTTTTCCTCTCAAACTTCCATAAGTTTGAGAAAAATACAACCCTTAATTTTCTGAGTCTGGCTTATTTTGCTTAACAGAATGCTCTCAAGTTCCATCCATTTTCCTGCAAATAACATAATTTCATTTTTCTCTGATTAAAACTCCATTGTGTGTACATGTCACATTTTCTTTATCCATTCATATATTGACAGACACCAAGGTTGGTTCCATTGCATTCAGTTGATGTAAGATAGAGTCTTGCAGCCCTTAGTGCAGGAATTAACTGTTGACACTTACTTAGGTCTTTGAAGGCTCTCGGTCTAATTGACCTAAATTCTTAGTTTAGGGTATTTGGTATTGTGGATTGTGCTCCTATAAACATGAGTTTGCATTATTGCTATAGTATACTGACTTTAATATTTTCTTTAGGATAAATACCGAGGAGTGATATAGCTGGATCATATGGTATTTTCATTCCTAATCTTTTGAGGAACCTCTGGAGTATCTTAACAGAGCTGGAAAGCCCAATGCAGACACCCTTTTCCCACACTTGGCAGAAGGTCTAGCCCAGATTGTCTGTAGGAGAAGGAACCTTGTTAGGGAACTCAGTTTTTCCCTCTTTCTATTGATTCCAATCTGCCACAGTCTGGCTGGGCACAAAATAACTGAGCCACCACAAAAGCCTTGTAGATTCAAACAGCAACTCTTTATTCCTGAACTCTCACCAGCACTCCACATGCATGTTCTGGGAAAATACACTCCCTCCACCAGGCTCTGCATACTAATACTCTCAGAACCCCGCAAGAACTCCACGGGAACTCCAAAGGAGCGGGCGCCTGAGGCAGCAGGATACGCCCTAATCCTGGAGCTGCCCTATTCCCAGCAGGATCCACCCTAAACCTGGAGCCACCCTAATCCCTGAGCAGGGTCACCTTTCAACTCAAAATGCCATGCATCATTCCTACTTGGCTATGGCTCTCAGCATCTACCCCCTTCTGTTTAATTAAACAACAAACAATGTGACTTAGGGACCGTGCCTGTTAGGTCGTCCAATTCAACATATGGTTCTTACTCGTCATTGGATGAGCTGACCTCTAGGCGTCAGCCTCCTGTCTTAGGTTGGTACCACTGCAATTGGATCATACCCGTCACTGACTACCGGTCCAGCATACAGCCATACTTGTGGATACGCCTATGCACCAGTGGTGGGGTGAGGTTCTTTGCCACACCTCTGTTGGTCCCCAAATTTTAGACCATCACTAGCAGAAGGGAGGAGGATACAGAAATGCCATGACACCAAGCCAATTGACGGCTCCTTTGGAAAAATTGTATCACCGGTGACACCATCAGCAAAGATACGCCAGCACTACCACAATTTGCTGCACCAACAGATAGTTCACAATGCATACAAGTGATACATAGTCCAGGCACGTTCTGCACGCAGTTCAAAGCGGAGGAATCTATCAATATGTCCATTTCCTCCGAAAGTAAATCAACTCCTTGATTGAGCATTACTTGTTGAGTTATTATTCATTGATGCATCAGTTTATACAGTTTACTGTGATAGCTATCATAGAAGCTGTAGTTTGGTTTTATCTTTGTCTTCACCGGCACTGGGATGAAGATAGGAATTCTGGCAATGATGCTAAAAAGAAATTATGTAACATTCCAACAGGTACTAAGAAAACAATTTCCTGAACAATTTACATTATCCTGAACAGAATTATTAAATATAATGAAAAGGAAACATGAAAGTAAAAAAACAGATCTGTTAACCTCCTTATTTGTACACATATTAAAACAATCCTCAACAGCTGTTTACCCAATTTAAATTAAACCATTAAAATCACGTGAATAAAAAAAATTCGGATCCATTTTTTCATGAGCGCTCCTCATATATGATATATGGACATATGCACACACAGACATTCAACACAAAACACAAGTGTGCACACAAATGTACAACACATAAGACAATAGTAAAACACAAGTGTGCACACAAACGTACAACACATAAGACAAAAGTAAAGGCCTTGTAAAGGCCTTGAAGCTTTACACAGGTGAAATCTCCATTGCAATGTTTAAAAACTCCACAGTCAAAAAATAAAACTGATCAGAAAAACATTAACCTAGGTCTGTATGAGCTCAAAAAATAAAATAAAACTTTATGATGTGGGAAAAGGCAATAATAAAATAGATATTGGAAAAAGCATCCTGGTTAATCACTGTTGCAGATGTAAGAATAGCCAAGCTGGAGCTCTGGATATCAGCTGTTATGGATTTGAGTCAAATCATCTTCTTTTTGGTCTGTAGAAATCGCTTTAATTAATCTCTCTGGAATCCAAATCAGCTGCTGTTCTCCCTGTGGAAACACACAAACAGACCCCTGACTCCAGACAATCACTGGGTCAGGACCTTTCCATTGTCCTGTTAGAATATCCTTCCAAAGTACCTTAGGCTTATGTATATTTTTTGGATACATATGCCTTTCCGCAGCACTAAGTCCTGATGAATCCAAATTTAAAAAGTTTAGAGTAAAAGGGTTATTTTAAGTTTATCTTTGGGGGATATATACCCCATCCCAGGTCCCTCTTTTTGTTTTAATAAGTACATTTTAATAGTTTGATGAGCTCTTTCAACTATGCCTTATCCCTGTGGATTGTATGGGATTCCTGTTAAGTAAAACATTAACTGATTTTAAACATTTTTCCATTCACAAATTTATGAAAACACACATAATGTTTAAATATATTACCTTATGGAACTTAATAAGTAAAGAGTACTTGATTT